CATGACGATTTATTTTGCAATTGGATCAAAGATAGTTGACTGGCAGGCATCTTGTTTTTTATGCGGTATCTTGGACGTGCTCTGTCAGTTTTCATTCAAATTTGGCACATGCATGTTTATACATGTTAGGATGCATGTCCATGACAATTTGTTTCAAAATCTGGTCAAAGCTGGCTGATTGACAGCCATCTGACTTTTTGGCCTTACTACTATATTTCCACAATTTATGTACCATTTTCATTCATATTTGGCACATACATCATACATATCAGTTTGTTTCATAATCAGATCAAAGATGGCCGAATTACAGCTGTTTTAATTTGTTGCCATATTACTACTACACAGAACACGTGTTTTGATGAAAATAAACAATCTGTTGTATACGCCACTTGGAACTCAAGTTTCAAGAACACGCTCACGACAACCCCTCCGCTTTAATATGATGAGCACAAAGAGAACTTTCAAACATTTAACGGGGACTGTGTCATTTTCAATGACTTGTTTAGTTTATACATGTAATTTATCTGTGATGCTTGAACATTTTGCTTGTTGGAACAATTATTTCACTCATTGTGATCTAAATTGTGAGTTAATTGCCGAAATATGTCTCGTATTAGTATTTAAATATTCTACAAAAAGTAAGTTAAAATTAGTAATGATGATTATCTCTTGATGTGAAAGTAAAAGCCATCTAAAAGCCAGCTCATCCTGTATTATGTCTCCATGGATACAAAATATGAAAAACACAATAGCATTGTTGAGTGATTAACCATGTGTATGTGAATATCAAAATACTTTTATAAATATTAAGAGTGCTGAAAGTTTGACTTTGAGTGGTAGTAGTGACACACTTGAAATGCTCAGTTTCACAAAAGTCTTTGGAACTTTTTAAAATTTTGTCAATAGATGTGATATTACTGTGTGTGGTTTTCTGTATTAATATATAAAACACTAAGGGTAAAAAAAATGCCATGTTTATGTCCCTTTTAGGTGGGAGTGAAAGAAAAACAGATTTGAACATGTTAAGATAGCGTACAGGGGCTAAGTCCTCTTGATGGGGTATAAACACTTTTGTAACTATTGAGTAAGACTTGTATCAGGTGTGGGTAATTTTATGCAAGTATTTAGCCTCCTGGGAAAGGGCAACACTGGTAACCATTTGAAATTCAGTACGACATCAACTGTATATTTATGATATTTCATTTCTAAGTAGGTAGCCGTAATTTTCAGGCTGTTTAGTTTGTTATACTGCCCTGTATACAGTATTTGAAATATATTGCTAGATGGTTAGTGGTCTCGATTTGTAAACAATTAGTACTCAATTGAAAAGACAAACCAAAACATTGCCTATCTGCGAATCACTGTTACCGTACTCTAGTTAGTGCATTATCCAGGTGCAGAAAAAACAAACCAAAACATTTCCTATCTGCGAATCACTGTTACCATACTCTAGTTACTGCATTATCCAGGTGCAGAAAAGACAAACCAAAACATTGCCTATCCGCGAATCACTGTTACCGTACTCTAGTTAGTGCATTATCCAGTGGCTGTTATATTCACGTTTCTTGCAAAACGATATTTACTTATCTCGTAAAAACGCTTGTGTAGCAACTTTTTTTCTACTGAGAACCTCATACAATTATACCAAAATATGCAATTCTCTGACAATGTTTTAATGAAACTGTATTGTTAAATCAGTGTTAATCTCTACATCAGATTTATTTACATATTTAATCAATGTTAATTCCATTATCATTCATTGCTGTAATTTTAGCATGTGTTCTATTCCACTCTCTTCTCCAGGTATCCATCCAAGATAGTCTATGTTGATGAAGAGGAAAGTGAGGTTCTAATACATTTTGAAGGATGGAATCAACGGTATGATGAATGGCTTCCATTTGATTCTAAGAGAATTCGTCCAATACATAGAACATCTACAAGAAAAGAGACTGTACAACATACTCGTGATGTGGTCAAGGTTGGTGTACCATAAAATACATAAATCAATCAATCAATCATACTCATCTCTGCTATATATCATAATTCATCATACACAACAGACCCCTTATCAAACACATTGATGTGCTTACTGGCGCTTTGAGAAATCAGAAACTTATGTTGAGAATATTGAACATAAACCTGAGAAGCACTGGCTCATTACATTCACATTAAGTTATTGCTGAAATTGATATTCAAATTTGTGTACCTTGTCGATTTAATAACAATATACACCGTAATTGTTCTATTAGAACTCCATCTCCATTGGAAGTGCATGGTTATTTTAATATGACATATTTTCACACCTCCATCCATCCATCCATCATCCATTTGGGTGTAAAAGAAGTATGTACTGGCTAGTTACAAAAAGCATGTAGATACTGACTGTGCATTGGGTATATTCAGACAATTATGAATTATTGTTATAATGGCAATAATTTGCAATTAGCATATTGACTGGTTTGACCTACAGCTTCTAAGTTTCATTGGGTGATTAGGTACCATCAGTGTATTCTCTTCAGAATACAAACAGGATGGGGTTATCGTCATAGTGTTCAGTTTTACCACACTGCAACAGTCAGTATCCCAGCTACCACAGTGGTTCATTTTCGCTCTCGTTAACTGAATTCAAAATTGAATACTCTTGTTCAGTTGTATCACATTGTTGATGCAATAAGAGTTTTCTAGAAGAATATTTGTGTGCATTATGTACTTTTAACGAGTATATTAATCATCACAATTTCTGTTTGGAAGAATTATGCTTGTACAATACAAGTGTTATTGTTATAAATTAATATGTAAATTGTTACCAGTACAATGGTTTAAATCTTTGAGAAGAACACTACTTAACTGTTGATAATATATTACAGGAGTATAAGGCAGGTGATGTGGTGCTAGCAAGATGGTCAGATTGTAAGTTCTATCCAGCAAAAATACTGAGTGTCAAAGCAAGTGGCTCATATGGTGTTGTATTCTACGATGGATTACAGAAAGTTATACTGCCTCTCAATGTGAAAACATTGCCTGAGGAAATGATGGAGGAATCTGAGGTAATCACCGATGGTTTGGTTTTGTTAATAAAAATATGTTTTTACAAAACTGTCAATGTTTGAGTGACACACTGTGTAGTCAGTAGAACACGACATAGTTCTGTATGAATGAGTATGTCCATTCAATGGTTACTCTGAGAGAACAACATTGTCCAGCTCAAACTTTACAAAATAGGTGAATCAAAAACACCGTTTTCAATATGTCTAGCTCAAACTTCACAAAATAGGTAAAACAAAAACACCATTTTCAATTTGTCGAACTCAAACTTTACAAAATAGGTGAATCAAAAACACCTTTTTCAATTTGTCCAACTCAAACTTTACAAAATAGGTGAATCAAAAACACAGTTTTCAATTTGTCCAACTCAAACTTTACAAAATAGGTGAAACAAAAACACCGTTTTCAATTTGTCCAATCAAACTTTACAAAATAGGTGAATCAAAAACACTGATTTCAATCTTTCTACCTTGTATCAAATTGGTGCACATTTATTGTGCTTTGCCAATAAACAATTGACATTCACCAGAATTGCATTAAAGTGACTCCCCTCACAGATGGAAAATAGCATACAAATTTGCTGATGTTGTATTTATTTATTTCATACCACACACAGGTAACAACAAATTATCGTGTTTGTTTTAAAAATGTGACATAATTATTGATTTAATAATAGACTTTTAGGATTATTCACCCAGTACAAAATATTTTTTCTGGAGTAGTCAGAAAACAAAACAAAAAATGGGTTGTTTGGAACTATTTCCATCAGAATTTGTTTTAAAGTATTCGTCAAAACTTTTCAGTATTATGGGACAACTCTAAAAAAAAAACTATCTTATAAGTACATATTATTTTTTCAGTATTTGTACTTGAACGAAACTTTGTGATATTACATAATCTTTTTATATAGGAGTCAATTGCTCATAACTCACCATTTGTATGGGTGTTAAACACATTTTTTGTGTGTGTGAAAAGTATGTTAGTTTTTGTAAGCAACCGCATCAAATCAAACCGGGGATAAGTTTTAATGATACCCAATAATAGGAGGTACATGTACAGACAGAATTGAATATTGTCTTGTGTTACATGTACTTTCATTATTATAATATTGGCTTATGTCAAAGTCCTTCCGTATTTGACCAACTTCAATGGTGCCCATGCTTCGTTAACCCCCCCCCCCCCATGTGTAGGTTTTTTTTATGGGGGGGGGGGGGGGGCTCTGTGTTCCAAATTTGTATCATTTGTAGACATTGATTTAACATTTCTGAATAATCAAATAACATAGCTATTGTGAATATTGACTACTGTCAAACTACTATTTGACTTGATTCTGTTGACGTCTGTAAAGGTCATAAAATATTACTTCCACACTCTGTTTATCTAAAATTGCAAAAGAAATCACACCATTTTTTCACCAAAATCATTGCCAACAAATCATGCTTCAACATGGGTAATTCAATTTTGAATTGCATTAACAATAACACCGTTGACAATATTCATCAGAATTGATTTCCCACAGTGCATTGCCTATATGCTCCGTAACATGTGAATTTGGCTCAAACTTTCATAAAAATCCTATCATACGGTTTTACATATGTAGTCTAGGGAATAGTAGGTATGCTGAAAATACTGTAATATGGGTAATGTGATATTGTGATGTAAAGTGAGACTAGTATGATGCTGTTATGAATCTATCATTGTTAGATTGCAAACTATTTGACATTCATATGTGTAATAATAAAGTTTCTTTTCTGTGTTATTTATTATTATGCTATATCAATTACTTTTCTTTTTTTGTGTACCCATCTTTAGAAATACATGTACTAATAGCAGAATTCTTTTCACCTGTGATCTTAACTACAATGTGCTATTAGTGTAGAACTTGGTTGATTTAAAATATTGTCATTATAAATGGTGTTCCTATGGTAATACTAATACATCTATACTACAGATTTTGGCAGGAATTAGTGCACACAATATTATTTTTAATATATGCATGGTCCTAAAAGCTCACTCATCCTGGTTGGTAATGAGATATTTTTGCCTGATAACGGTAATAAAAATTATGCTCACTATGCTTAAAGTTGCATTTCCACTTTTTAAGACATCACTCCCAGAACAAGATTAAATACATAAAACAAGTTAGAATGAGACTGTTTTTGCTAAAAATATGTTTATATTAAAAGTAGATATCCTGTTCTCACTTTCCCATTCATTTCACCCGTACTGGATGGTCTTAGCCTGTAGACAAACATACATACAATGTAATAACATTCAAGGATGAACAAAATGTAGCTTAATTTAGGGGAACTGCTTAAATATTCTGCAGTTACTTTCTCCCTGTCCATCCACAATCTCAATATGTCAAGGTGTTTATATATGTCAGGATATGGTACATCATAGATTTGCAAAGTGGAAATGCAACTTTACCTGTTCTTGAACTTTAACAACAAATAATTGAAAACTTATACCCCCGGAGGTCATGCATTGCATTGAAATTATACCCCACTGATTCTATAACTCACTATCCCAGATCATCAAAAAATACAAAAAATTCATTTGTCAGCGAAATAAAATTCAGCTTACACAATATACCAAGAAATGAGAAACATTTCCAATCTACGCTGTGGAAATAAGAACATTTCATAGTAAAATTGAACTTGTATGTACACTCACCATTTCTGCTTCACTGTAGTGAAAATTCTGATGAAATTCTATGAGCAATGTCATATAATGACTGACAATGTTGAGAACTATTTATCGGAAGTGTTTACACTTGTACTCCGGCAGAAAAAAGTGATAGAAGCAGTCATCCCATGCAATTATGCTGTACTGAAGACAAAATCATTTCACTGGGCTGTATGCAGCTAATAATGTATGATTTGTCAAATTCATGATGCATTTATTTCATAAATGATGTTGTATGTTGCAGCAAATTCATGATGCCATTAATGTGTAATGCAGCAAATCATGATGCATCTAGTTTATGGTGCTGTTTATGTATGCTGCAGCTAACATAATAAAGCTAATGTATTATGCGGTTGATGTGTAAGACAGCAAATTCATGATGATTCTATATATTATGCAGCTAATATAATGTAGATGCATATAATAATATAATTGAATGTATTTGCATCAAATTAATGAAGCTATCCACTTTTTTTTCTCTGCTTATTTGGCTATATTTTGCACCTTCATGAAAAGGTAATCCTGAATTACTCTTAGCTCTTTTTTCTCTCTGCATTATGCTGGAATAATTAATAATTAAGTATGGAATAATTAATAACTATATTATGTGGAGATTATGCTGAGTACATTATCTGATTCTCTGGCATAGTTGACTCAATTTAAAATTTTAGAATTCATCACTTCTGTAAATATGATTTATCCAACCTATAAAAACAAATTTAGAATTCATCACTTCTGTAAATATGATTTATCCAACCTATAAAAATAAATTTAGAATTCATCACTTCTGTAAATATGATTTATCCAACCTTTAAAAACAAATTTAGAATTCATCACTTCTGTAAATATGATTTATCCAACCTATAAAAACAAATTTAGAAAAATGTTATAAACATGTTATAGAAAATAAAATTATATAAAACAACAGTAAACAGTAAGTTTATGGCTGAGTGAATCTGCAGCTTCAGGATTGTAAAATCGAAATAATACCAAAAAAAATATCCAGCATTAAATTGTAGTTCTCTACAGTTATTTTTATTTCAATTTTGCTTTCTTCACGTATCTTGATTCAACCAAATAGTTGAGGTGTTAAAACGTCGCCTTGAAGCCCTATTCAATATTTAGTATTCACATGCAAATAAGCTGAAAGAATTCAAGATTTGCGTTACTGAGCATGCTCTGTGACCTTTGTGCAGTGTTTAATGAATAAATTATCTCAAAATGGCTGCTTGGATTTCGTGAAACTGTGAGAATGGCAGGCAGTGAACTTTCACCTTGGTTTATGGAAGTACTGAAGCTTTGTTCTTATTAATATTTAGAGAAAACTGCTGTTATCATACTTTTCTTTGTCTTGACAGTGTTCAAATATTTGCACATTACAGCCCTGGCTAAGTTTAAAGTGTTTATTAGCCGCAAGTTACCACGGCTTGGGCGACTTGTACATGTTTATGATTTTTTGGGTGTATATTGGTCAAGTATTCTTGTTTATATATTTTTAGTATTTGTTTACCTTGCTGCATTAATTTATATAGTATTATTGATATATGCTTTCCCATGTAATCAACTAAACCAAAAGGTGCAGTCACGGAACTGGTCGATTACTGACTTTTATTGTTGTCAACTTTCCCTATTGTTAAAAATACAACTAAACAATCTGATTTATTACAATATTTGCCTACTTTTTTATGGTTTCAAACATGTATGTTATTATATGTCAGTGGATATACTTTCATCCATTCTGATTGTTTCCTTAAAGAATTTACTTGTGGTAAAGTGTCTGCAATTCTCTGACTTGAAAATTGAAAAATTACTGTTGTCAAGTACAATGTACTACACGGTTTTGAAATTCTTAAAAATGCCTTGTTTTACTTGATGTAGAATTAGCTCATAATTTTCTAAAAAGATTTCTCATGTTTGTGTACGATATTTAGACAAAGACACTACTTGTCTTTGATTTACTGTCACTGATGAAATCTATATTATGATGATTGCTCTGTTGATTTTAACCACAACTTTCTATAACACAACTGTGCTGTGTGTAATTATGAAAATTAATGTATACATTTTCCGAAAGATCAGATATCAACAAAAATGGGTCAACATGTCTTGTTGCATGGTGTTCTCTGAGTTCACAGTAGAGAGTCTCAACAAATACAGCATCAAGAAATCTAATGTTTGTGTCTATTAGAAAACAATGCAGACACTTCAAATAATCTATTGGGCAAACAATGTAAGAAAGCATCTGTTTTTCCATATCTAAACTTCAAGAAGATGTATACCTTGATGTGGATGCGAGTTGAGTGCCAAAAATAATTTGATTTTGTAATTGTGTAAAATGGGAGTAATTGCTGGAGTCACACATTGACATAAACTAGATTGTCTAGGCTTAAGGTTTTGTTTGTATGATTACATAATGTCACAGTTAATCTTTGATTCTATCTGTATTAGTCTGTATTATTATTGTGGCTTTCATTATGAACACTACCTGATATGGAGGGAAACATAAACTAAGGAATCAATATTCAAATTGATTTTGTATACGATTGCTGCACTACATTTCTGCTATAAAATGTTTCAGATTCCAGTATCTGTAAATGCCATATATTATTTCCATTGTACAGTGTTTCTAATGATATTTGTCTTACAAAGTCTAACATTCCAGATCTTAGATGTGAAATTTGACTCTGACTATTGAGATCTCAACTTGTGCATTTTTTGCAGGCGTTGTTTAAGGATGTGCCATGTGATGTCGACAAGGAACGACCAAGAAGTGGTACTCCAAAAAAAAGATTAGGCAGCAGAGATTTTGAGGGTAAAAAAAGTAAATTATCTAATAAAGGTAGTGTATTGTGTTACGCATGTACTTGCTATTCTGTATCTCCAATGTTTCTACTCTCTATCTGTATAGTCAATATTTGTTATCTACCGTCATCCCGGCCTGGACTGCATTAATTCTGCTACCAGACTTGTCTGTGATAAAGGCACAAGTAATGCTTAGCTCGTGTAATTTATGTAATCTCTGTTCTAGCTCTGATAACATAGGTATTGATAGAGCAGTTGCCTATGTATACTATATTCATCTGTACCATGCTTTACTGCTTAGATACATAATCTTTCCTGCATTTCTGTATGTGATTATTTTCTCAATTCTTTCTTGTTTATATATTCAGGTGATAAAGATGCAGAGAGTAAGAAACGTAAAACTCAAAGTCCATCTTCAAATTCAACACCAGCATTTCAAGCTAAGAAAGCTAGATTGGATCAAATAACTGGTAAATTGGTATTTAAAGCAACAACATCTCCTGCAAAGAAGTCAACATTCAAAGTGAAGAGTGAACGTTTGAGTCAGATAACTGGAAAACTGGCCCACAAGGCAAAGGTAGTTTATAAGTACACAATGCATTACAGTAATTGAACAAATTCAATATGATGTATGTATGGGAACACCAACCCTTGCCATGAGGCTTGTGTAATAACTGGGCTATTGTAGACATGACTCTATTTTATTTTTATCCAACTAGACTCAGCAAGCTGTAAGAAGTGACAAAAAGTCTAGACATATTCATCGGCAGCAGCAACAGCAGCAGCAACAACAGCAACAGCAACAGCAACAACAGCAGCAACAACAGCAACAGCAACAACAACAACAACAGCAGCAGCAGCAACTACTCCTACTACAGCAACATTATGAGCAAGAACAGTTAACTGATTTACCACAAGAGCATCCAGGACATCAACATGGCTCAGTCATTGCGTCATTATTGACACAAGGTGCCTATGCTGGAAATACAGCTGCTGTCAGCCAATCAACATCTAGCAGTGGGGAAGGTTTATATTCTCAATCATCCATGTGTGGTCCATTGACGTCAACGGGACATATGTGTATATCACCACCACAGTCTCCATATGGTACACATTATGCAATGCCACAGTCATTGTCACCATCTGCAGGATTTCATCATCTTCCTCATACAGGTATGTATCATTTGACCTGCTATAGTTAGCAATCTAGTTGTGATTCATATTCAATTCTGACTTCAGGGTTGATGTACAAATTACTTGATCCATTGTGGTCCAGATTCATATTCAATTCTGACTTCAGGGTTGATGTACGAATTACTTGATCCAATGTGGTTCAGATTCGTTTTCAATTCTGACTTCAGGGTTGATGTACGAATTACTTGATCCAATGTGGTTCAGATTCGTTTTCAATTCCGAATCCAGGGTTGATGTACAAATTACTTAATCCATTGTGGTCCAGATTCA